AAAAAAAAAAAAAAAAAAAAGCTACATCAACTATCCCTTGCCCCATCGCCGTCCGCCTTCCCGCACTCGCTTACTCAACCAGTTGTTCTCCCGCCATGCCCTTCAACCTTCTACAGATCAATTTTCGCTCACCTTTTTCCCACCGGAGCACGAGTTTTTAAGCCATACGCCTCACTATTGCTCTCTTATCGTCTCTCTACTCGGTTGAAGCGAAGATTTTCGTTGTTTCAAGCATCTACACTTTAGTTTCTGCTGAATCAGTGCTTTATGAGCTTACAGTTCGTCAATGTCAATTCCAATTACTTCAAAATACTTGATATCATAGACGCACGGCAATCCTAAAGGAGGAAATCATGGCGTCGACTCAGTATGGCATCAAATACGCTGTCCACATTATCACTGCGCACTTCGGCAATCTCGTCGCGGTATGCCTTTTCTTTTCTAATCCTTGCTTCAAATCTTGATTCGTATCATGTTATCAGCCTGTCCTTCTTCGTACCATCGTTTTTCATTAATATTGATTGTGCATTGACAGAAAGTGTGCGAAACCCTGCTTCGAAGGGGGCCTCTGACCTTGAGACTTCTTATACGATTCACGGAACTTAGCTCATCACAGATTAACAACTCCCTTCTTATTCTCATCCAACATAATTGCGTCCAAGCCTTCACTGCAGTGACAGAAGGTATAATGAGTTTTCATTCATGGAGAAACTTCTGAGTCTATGGTATTTTTTTGGTAAATTGTTTGGTTAATTAGTGACAATATGCTCACTGGCTAAAAGAATAACCTTTTTTACCTTAAATAGAATCTGGATTTTAGAACTGAGTTCGATTAAGTTCATATAACCGGGATCATATAGCGTCATTTAAAATAATTTATCTATGCTCAGTTTAAGCCCGTTCGTTTTCAAAATGTATCAACTTTGATAGGTAGTTATTTTATGGAACCATATTGGCACTATTAGTTAATTAGTGTGTTAAGAAGGTAGTTGTATTCTCGAATAGGACACCATGTGTTTGCAGATTGAGCTTCTTATCATTGTTATTGTAAATGCACGTGTAGGTGAGTTTGGAGATGCACCCAAGGCAGACACACAATACTTGGCGTTGTTTAGTAACATACTTCATCGTATGAGATTTTCCAAATTCCTGGCAATTGCTTCAGAAAAGCTCGAGAAAGATAAAGATGTTAGTTCATATACTCACATTGGTAAAACTCTTGTTGGGAATTTTCAACTTCAAGGGAATTTAGGTTGTTAACTTATGTTTTTGATTTCATAGTGTGAAGAACTTCTTGAGGGTCTGTTGCAGAATGGTAGGCTTTCAATGGAACAAATAATTGAAAGAGCAAAGTCCAGTAAACATGCAGGCAAGTTTTTTACCTGGTATTTTTATTTGCATTTTGCTATTTACTGCAGTATTTTTTTAATATGCTACGTTCTCCTAGTGCCATAAAATCGTGTATTGATTTAAATTTTTAAAAGGAACGTTATTGATCAGAAAAGGGAGATTTTAAGATTGATGGATCCCAGAGATCATTTCTATATCATTCATGTCAGTCTTGATATCAGATTTTATTATCACCTCTTGACTTGATTGGGGTTTCATTTATCAATTAAATTTTTATTTGTTTCAAGAAAAAAAAAATTGTTTTTCTTTCAACCTCATCTTGTTTAGAAGAGTGAAATTGTTGCTTAATCCTAAAATTGTGATATGTTTTTGTTGAACTTACTGATCAATTACATCAATGAAGAAATAACATAATTTAGAAGGCGGCTCTTGCACTGAGAATGTGTTTGACTTGTATTTGAATATGCCACTTATATAAAACGTTTGGTTTCTGAGGTATTGTTTCTGTATTTTCAGGAAACCGTCCAATTCCAGATGTTGTAAATGAAAGTTTATTAAAACTTTTGAATGCCCATTTTGTTGAACGCTGTCCAGCCCCTGAACCAACTCTTTCACCCCAAGTTGAAGAGCAGCCTCCTCCTAGAAAAAGAGGTGCTAAGGCTGCCAAGGTAGCTGAATTTATGTGAAACTTGTCATGCATATTGGTGCTAAATATCATCGAGTCATTAAATGGATCCATGACAGGTATCAGAGGTGCCACCGACCTTAGAACAACGTCTTGTAGAATCAGCACGTCCGATGGAAGTTATAAGATTTTCAATAGGTGAAACCAACACTGAAGCTGAAGAGAGTGAACATTATTCATCAATTTCTGGACAGAAGGTATGTATGAGATTATCGTATCAAATTACCTAGCTGAAACATGTTTGGTACTTGCTCACAATTTTTCTGTAGCGCAAGCGTGGTGATCTGGATATGATACAAGAGTCTGGAGATGCAGATGGTATTATTCTTTGGCGTGCAAACTTTGATGAGTTTATAAGATGTCTTAGACATAAGGTTGGTATTATTTTTTCCTTCAGAATTTCTTATATATTCGAACTAGATCAGATGAAATTACAGTGAATGTGATTCTCCTTTCTTGTATTCACATTATTGATGAGAAAGAAAATAAGGCATGACAAATGCCCACCCCTTGGCCCAGTTTCGGTTCTACAAGCGGGCAGAGCATTCTTTTCAAAAAAAGAAGGCATGACAAATATGAATAATTTAATTTAACTCCCTTGAAACCTATTGATAGAGTACTTCTATGTAATGGGAAAAAAAGCACAACCTAGATGAGGGACCCGAGCCTATGGAGCACAAATCAAATAAAAGGCCCCGAATATAAAATAATGTGAGGAGAGAAGGCATGTTACTGAAGGATTTGTGTAGAGCACTCCAATTATTGGAGGTTGTATACTGTATGTTTTATCAAATTGGTAGCTGACACGTGCTAACTTTGTACAAAAATGAGGGGAAAACTGTACTTAAGTTCACAAGTTCTTATGGTCAATTCAAATGGTAATTGCATCAATATCCTACTATGGCTCTAGGCTTGCATTGAACATGTCAGATCACAGTTTGATGACGGAGCGGTAAATGTCTTGAGTGCCATTTTGGAGGCTACTCGAAGTTCTGAAAAAATCGTGAAAACAGAGATAACAGGTACAATCTAATGTTTGTGTAGATTTCTAAAGGAGTTTAGTTATGCACGTATTTGATCTTGATGCACATTGATCGTATAAAACTATATGTTGTGAGTTGGTACTAGAAGGAATTGTTTGGCCGCTCTTTTGAAGACAATTCTCTCTTTTTAAAAATAAAAATATTAGTGAAAGCATGTTGGCTTATTTACTTTTTACAGGCTGTTTACTCATGTTTTCTTTTAATTTGTTTTTAAAGATGATTTGATTCTTAAAACAATTGAAATTATTTTTTCTAGAACTATTGTCTCGTGAATACTGATCAAGTGCAGAACAAGGCTAATCTTTCTGAGCCTTCTCCTTCAAATTTTAAAGTTAAAAGCAGAAAACTGTTTTTCAAGATGGCTTTCAGGATTCATATTTGATTTTATCATGTAATGAATTCATTTACTTCAATGCAGACAATAATGACCTTTGCAAAGCCTGTCAGTACATTAAGACAAAAAAATGAGAAATTTTGGGGCACTTTATCAGTATCATTAACCAGCATGCACATTATATTTTGTGCTCTCTTATTACGTTCTTTCCTGTTCCACCTCTTTTACATAATATGTTTCTTAAACTGAGTAATAGTTTCTTGGCTTCTTTTATCTAGACTCCTTTTCTTGTTATGTTACGAACGATAGGCCTTA